TGGGTCCCCTGGGTCCCAATCTCTGACTGGGCTCTGTGGGGACATGTCTTGTGTGTACTCCTTGACATGTTGCCTTCCTGAAGCCTGCCAACTGGTCCCTCCCCAGTGTAGTCTGGCCCCTGTGACACTGGGGCCACCCAAGGAGTCAGTGATAAGCTGAGGGTCCCTGCTCCACCTTCCCCACCTTTATGATGTGAGCCAGGACAATGGGAGGGAGAGTGAGGCTCCCCAACAGCAGTGCAGATACAGGAAGGCTTCCAAGGAGATAGGTGAGAGTCCAGCCACAGCCCCAGCAGGAGGGAATGTGAAGATCCGAGGCCAGAGCAGGGGTTCTTCACCGTAGGATGATGGCTGACCTCAGTTGGTTTGACCAAACCCTTGTGAATTAGAACTTCCTGAAGAATTAGAATTTTTCAAAATTTCACAAGTTCTTCACATGATTCTGATGGGCAAGCAATAGTGAAAACACCCATTAGAGAGACACCCAGACACATCTAGACAAAGAGGGGTAAAATCAAAGGCAAACTCTAAGGCAGGATTGTCAGGGGCCCGGGGGCCCAACTCAGTCCCCTATAGCCCTCCCTACCCCACCTCCACCCCTGTAGGCAGAGGCAAGAGCCGTCCCTGGAGAGTAGGGGAGCTGCCGAGGGTCGGGGGCCGGGTGGCAGGTCAGGGTGTTCTGAGAAGACCCCCAAAAGGGAACAACTCTTCCGGGTCAGAGTTCGAGGTCGCTTGTGTGCCACTTCTAGGAGGCTGGGATGGAGACTGCAGTTCGAGGAATGCCCTTGGAGTGCCCTCCTAAGACGGAGCGGCTCAATGCCTACGGTAAAGGGTGGTGGGTTGGTGGGGAGGAACTGGTAGAGAGAGGGTAGGGGGAGGCTGGAAGGAGGGAAGGATGGGGACTTGAGGGACAAGGAGACCGAGGGTCCTAGAGAGGGCGTAACCCTGACTCTGTTTTTGTCTCCACCTCTCCCTGTCTGTGACCGTCTCTTCCCATCCGCGTGATGCTTTGGGTCTCCTGGACTCGGGACCCGCGGGCGCAGAGCGCGAAGTGGTGGTGAACATGCTGAACTCACTGTCGCGGGACCAGCGGCGGCCGCAGATCACGCCCCGATGCGGGTGCGTGGACCCGCTGCCCGGCCGCCTGCCCCTCCAAGGTTACGAAAGCGCCTGCTCCGGCCGCCACTACTGTCTGCGCGGGATGGACTGCTGCGCCGCCGGAGCGCCCTGCACCGATCGCCGCCTGCGGCCTTTGTGCGGGGACCAGCCGACAGTAAGGTTCGCGGGGCTCTGCCCGCTTCCGACGGCTCCGCCCCCGGCCCAGCCCCACCCCGGGGTCCTGCCCAACGTGGCTGCGGGCGCTCCTTCCCGCCCCGCTTCTCGCCCAGCTCCGCCTCTGTGCCAGCCCCTGGCCAGCCCCTGTCGGGCTCTGCTCGCCTACGGGGCCCTGCTGTGTCCTGCCCTCTGGCCCCAGGGCCTGAGCGAACTAAGGCGGGAGAACCAGCAAGCTTACTCCAAGTCCCTAACCCTGTCCCTTCCGAACTGGGCTCAAGGTCATTCTGACCCCAGTATATGCTCTGGAGGTCCTCCCGGAGGGTTTCTGAGGAACAAAGTCTCCCTCTTCCTCTGGCCTTGCCCGCTAGCCGGACACTTGGCTCTGGAGACGCAGGTTCCAGCCTGCGGAGTGCCTCGTGTTCTCAGAAAAATGCCCTGTCTTCCTTGGGCCCCGGGTCACTGTCAGTAGTGAGTGGGGTCATTGCTGGGGGCTAAGTGAGCAAGAAAATGGTGACCGCTTTACCAGAACAGCGCTGGCTTCCTCGGAGCCCCGCGCCACCTCCGGGAGTAGACGCCCTCGCGTGTTACTGCTAAGGCAACTGAGGCCCGAGTGCACAGGTGGCGCCCAGACTGCAGCGCAGCACTCGTCCTGCACCGGCGGCAGACAAGGCAGACCTTGCCCAGGAGAAGTCCGATGTCTGAGGCAGTCTGGAGAGCTGTGCAGAGGGGGTCCATGATTCCCGCCCCTCTCCAGGCCAGCAGTCGGATTCATTGCGCCAGACTGGGTCTTACCCCTCACAAGGGCATGGGGGACAGGAAGTGTTTGCGCCTCTAGGAGGCTCAGAAACATTGCCTCCATAGTGCTGGGGAAAGTGCTGTCCAATGGCGGGCATCCGGGCGCTCCAGGTCCTCAACGACCGAACCGAGCCCGGTCCTCCCCAGTCCAGCATTCTTCCCTGGGCGGCAGAAGCGAGGCCTTTGGGGAGGGAGACTTCCAGGGCGCTTCCCGGAGGTGGTGCTGCTATGGGGTCTTGAAGGGCAAGGAAGGAGGAGAGAATCTCCGAGCCTGAGACTGGCAGCTGAAGCACCGCCCAGAGGCTTGGTCTGGATCTGGGGATAGGATCAAAGGCCCAACCCCTCCCTGCCCACGCTTCCTCCTCCAGGGGTGTATCGCCCCACGAGCACCGGCCCGGAATGCAGTGTGCTGTTACAACTGACCCGCCGTCATACTACCCATGTCCGAACCTTAGGTAAGTCTCGCGCGCGCACACTCACTTGCATAAGCCCCTGGAGTTTGTTCCCTTGGCACGGCGGGGCCGGAGGGAGGATGGCACTAATTGGGGTGGGAACTGTCCGCTGCTGTGCATTGACAGAGTGATGCCACCAGGGGGAGCTAGTGCGATGGGGGAGTCAAAGCTGGCAAGGAAAGGGAGGAGACCTCATGAGAGGGCAAGGAGGAGGGTATTGAAGGGTTACAGGTCGGCAATGGGCTTTAGAGTGGGCTTAGAGTCAAGGCCGTTGGGTTCAGGGCTTTGAAGCAAAGGATAAGAAGTCAATGTTAGAGAGCGGGTATAGAGTATCAGAAATTTAACACAAGAACCTGAGGCCAGGAGTTCAGTGCTGGAACCCAGGGTCGGTGTCAGCGGCAAAATATTGGGATAAAGTTAGCATTGCGAATTGGAGTCAGATGTTCACTTAGACGTGTGAGGGTCCAAAAGATCTGACCCATCTCTCCCTGCAGATGGGACACAAGTCACTTCAAGAAATCCGGTGGTCCCCAGAGAAACAACTATGTCGTCCATCCTGAGTTTGTGTCCGAGACCTACCCCGACTACCGTTGCTGGTAGAACCTGGGCTGATAGAGCCTGGGCTGGCTGGGCCAAGGGGGTGAACCAATAAATAAACTCTTCACCCCCAAAGGCTGCCTCCTGCGTCCTCACCCATCAGGATATCAAAGTGAGGGGCCAGTCACTCAGGCCTCTGCCAAGCCACCTCAACTGAGATGCAGTTTCTCAAAGTCCCCCTCCCCACCCTCATCATCTCAGTACTGAGTGCCCTCCTGACACGTAACAGTAGCCCTATATCCTGCTAGTGTTCTTCTCCCCTTCATCTCAGAGCCCAAACTAATGAGTCCACCTAGCCATACAGGGAGGACCTAATTCCCACCCTACAAAGACCCTCCAGCTATCATTTCCCCAATATGCCCCCAAACTTAGATGCCCTCCTACATATCAGAGGACCCAGAATCCTCCCTTCTACAGTCAAAGCCCTGTCCCTACACCCGAATCTCTTGATCTCTGCTCCTAGAAACTCCATCACAGCCCCCGAAAAGCCTCTCTGTGCTCACACACCCTTGCTGCCCTTCCCCATCCAAGTTCAATGGGCCCAAAACATAATTTTGGAGGGTCTCCTAACCAAAAAATTGCAAATTGCAAAACAAAGCCCTGTTTTTCTGCCCCTCAGGGAGCAAGGGGTGGGTTGTTCTGGAATCTCTGGGATCTTCAGTATTTTCCTTTCTCCATCAAAGATATGAAACCTCAAAGTCATGCAAACCATACCCCGCACCCCCCACCCCCTCCTGAAAGGGTATGGTAGGGCACGCCCACTGTCCCGCAGAATGGGCTTTTCTAACTAAAGGCTGTCACTAGGAGGAGGGGCTGGACCCTATAAATTACTAGGCTGGAAG